CGTTTCCTCGGTTGTACTATTTTTAGTACTGATCTTCTCATCAGGAAGTTTATCGTCTGTGGGAGGATTGATTTGCTCATCATTCTCCCCCTCAATCTCCATAGGACGATTAATCGGAATTTCTACGTCATCATAGTCACGTATTTCCGTGTCTTCCTTTGAGAAGATAACATTGCGTGAAGTTAGAATTTGGTTGCCATTCCAATAACGGTAACCTTTAGTACTGTCGTCAATGCCGACAAAAATGAATGGGCGTGATCTGGGGTCAAGTTTTTTATTTTTCTTGTCTTGTTGTAAAACCCAACATTTGCGGCCGAATTCTTGTAGATTTGCAATATTAGGTCTCTTGTTCCAGAATACTTCGTCAGGAGTTTTATCGTCCCTTAAGGCACGTGTGGGGGAACGATTTCGGAGATATGTAGCATATTTGACAGCTTCTGGCCAAAGATAGTAAGCCAGATGTGGATCTTGTGAATGTAACATGGCGCGCGCCTCCGACACTACAGTTCGGTTTCCACGCTCTGCAATTCCATTCTGTGAAGATGAGTAAGCTGCTGTGACCTCAAGAAATATCCCATTATCCAATAGATATTCTCTGAATTCTTCTCCAATAAATTCTCCTCCCCCATCAACTCTAAGTTTCTTGAGTTTTCGGCCTGTTTGTGTTTCTACAAATGCCTTATACTGTTTAAACTTAGATAGCGCCTCTGATTTCTTCTTAAGGAAATAGCGCATCGATCGTCGTGATTTCCCATCAGTAAACGTGGCAAAATACTTTTCTCCCCCTATTCCGGTTGTTTGAGCAGGTCCCCAGAGGTCAGACACTGTTAAATCACCAATCTCCGCTATCTCTGCTTTGGATTCTTGCGGATATGGTGTAAGGTGTTGCTTTGCGAGTATACACGCCGGGCACTGTTCCATTGCTGGAACACTTTCATCAACTTCCATGCCGGTAACCATCCCTTTTGACTTCAATTGTTTAATTGAAGCCATATTCAAATGTCCCATAATTCTATGCCATTCATCCCATGTGTGTGCGCTTGTTTTTATGAATAAGGTG